TATTGCAAAAAAAAAGTTCAACAACGTCCCAATACTTGTTTTTTTCATGCAATATGTTTTTATTATACATTATGTATAGTGTGTTTTGCTGTGTTGTATTTTTTTGGTATGATTTTGTAATATTGTCCTTTTAGCTAATTCTAAGTGTTGCCCTGATTATGTGTTGTGGCTATTTGCAATGTGATAGCACTGCCCTATTATGTTTTAGTCATAATGTTTGTCTCCTTTTATTTGATCCGTTTTGGAGATCAATATTAGATTCTGACTACTGTGGGTTCATCCAAGTTTACATTTTCAGTGATAACACCCCATTGATGTAAGAGTGATCTCTATTTATTCATGGTGCCTGGGTTAGGTAGTTTGATCTTGACTAAGTATAACTCTAAAATACAAAATAAATTCATCTTTAGCTGTAATATAAAGCACGCTCAGTTTTGGGGCTCACACCTTTCTTCTCAAAAGTATCAAAGAATGAAGTTTTGTCCTATGTACAGCCCTGTTAATTATCAGGTTAACAGAGAAGCTAAAACAAACACAGGGATCTTTTGTAGCCGTTCTTTGTAACAAAACTTTTCCATTACCCTTATTATTTTATTTTCTATTCCCCTTATTATTATTTAACCACCTTACATTTTTCTAATTCCTTGTTATATTTTCTTAAATCTTACCATGGTTTTATAAAGAGGCAAAAGGATACTTGAATTTGTGCCATTTGTATGCACAGCAGTACCATACTGGCTTTTGCCTCTGCTGAATGACACTACACATTACTACTTGTGCTATTGTGTGGCTAATTTTATATGACTGTATTGCTAATTTGTTGTGTGAGTGGCTAGTCACTGTTGACTGTGACAGGCCTTAAAGTTCCATCTGTAAGAAGGAGCCCATCAGGGATGGAAAGTGCAAGCTTTACAGCAGGGAGGTTACTTTACATGCAATTAAAAAAAGCTGACTTACTGCACCCTGCACAGAGTTCAGCACTGTCTCCACTTCTTCAATCCTGCTAAGGATACACCTTATTATATCCTCTCCCTCGCTCCCCTGGTGCTCAGTTGATGAGTCAGAGCACAGCTATGGAGATTCCCAACCTGTGCTCTGACTCAACTCAGAGAGAAGGTGTTTCTATGTGTGTTATTGTTTATGTGTGTCAGTGTATGTATATGTGTGTTAGTGTTTGTGTGTGTCAGTGTATGTGTACCAGTATTTATGTGTTTCAGTGTATATATCTGTGCATGTGTGTCAGTGTTTGTGTGTGTCAGTATTTGTGTATGTCAGTGTATCTGTTTATGTCAGTGTTTTTGTGTATTAGTGTATGCATCTGTTTTTGTGACTCTGTGTATGTGAATCTGTAATCTGTGGATGTATGTTAGTATGTGTCAATGTAACTGTGTATATGTTTCAATCTCTGTGTTTATTTCTTGGGGTGTATCTGTGTGTCTATGTGACTGTAGGCATCTGTGTGTCAGTGTATGTGTGTTTCTGTGTATGGCAATCCACATACCAACATTACAGACAAACATGCTCCTGCATTCATACACTAACACTACATAAAGAAAGCCTTGCACTCAAAAACCAGCACTACACACACCACCTTGCATTTAAATGCCAACTCTATGTCAGGATTCGATGATGTTTCAGAATTCCTCCAATGTCTCAAAAACAAACCACTATTCTTGTGGTTTTACTAAAATATCTAATTTTATTCCAATTTCAAAAATTCCTCCTTCTACCGAACTATCCAAATTGTTCATTACTAATATAGTACGACTTTTGGTTTACCTGACTAAATTATCTCAGATCGAGGATTATAGTTCACATCTAAGTTCTGGAAAGAATTATGTAAGAGTCTTGGATTTCTAAATAAATTCTTCTCTTCATATCACCCTCAGAAAAATGAGCAAACTGAGAGAGTGAATCGATGTCTGGAACAGTATCTTAGATGTTTCTGTACCCATCTTCAAGATGATTGGTCATCATGGTTACCTTTGGCTGAGTTCTCATATAATAATTCTTTAGATTCGAGCACAAAGATGACACCCTTTTACTCCAATTATGGGTTTCATCCAACTTCTTTTCCTACAGAAATCATTTGTAGTTCCAATCCTTCAGGTAATTTTCAAATAGAATAAATTATGAATTTGTTCAAAACACTAAAAAGCAATCTTGAATCTTCTTTTTCAAGCCAAAAGAAATTTGCTGACAAAAAGTCAAGTCCTCCTCCTGAATATAAGGTTGGAGATAAAGTTTGGCTCTCCACAAAAAATATAAAAACTAACAAACCTTCTAAAAAACTTAGTCCTTTACTCATTGGGCCTTTTACTATAGAGAAAATTATTGATGAAGTTGTTGTCAAATTAACTTTGCCTTCCATGGAGGAAACTCCATCCTGTTTTCCATGTGTCTCTTCTAAAACCCTACGTTCCAGATTCTTTTCCAAGAGATAAACAACAGCCTCCAGACCCTGTTCTGGTTGATGGGGGAATTGAATATGAAGTCCATAGAGTATTGGATTCTCATCTTCATCATAGAAAAGTCCAATACTTAATCCGTTGGAAAGGATATGGCTGTGAAGATGACTCATGGGAAGCCAAGGAAAGGATTCATGCCTCTCGACTAATTGCATAATTTCATAAAATATATCCTGATAAACCACATTAATAGCACTCAGAGCGTGCTTCTTAAGAAGGGAGTGATGTCAGGTTTCCCCTATGTTGTTTTGGAATTCCTCCATATTGGTTTCAGACCGATCTCCATTTCCCGTATGACTTCCGGGTTTCGGCGATTCGTCTCCGCCCATGCGTCTGATGTTACGCGCTTCCCTTCAAAAGGAAGCCGCGACCGCATCTAAATTGCTCAATCAACGTTTGTTCATCTTTGATGTGCTCTAGCTACTTGTTACGTTGTTGCCGCTTCCCGACGGAGCTGGCTACGATCTACTCTCAACTCCTTGACAAGGAACAGACTTCACTTCGGATTCCTGCCTCTCTCCACTTATTTCCACTCTACTCTGGAAAGGACTACAATGCTCATCATCCAAGAATGGCAAGATAAATCTCCAGTTATTGGGATTACTAATTGGTTCTTACTTAAAGTTATTTTGGAAGGAAAGGAATACTAAAGTCTGCCCTCTGGGATTCCACTTTATTCTCCATTTTATTAAAAATCTAGTTTGCTAAATTTCTCATTTATGTTAATTATTATTATCATTAAAGTCTGAAAGACTATAACCACTTCTCATACCAGGATATAAATATCATTGCCAATATTTACTGGTTCAAGTTAAAAGACTGTGCTACTTTCCAACAACAGGAATCATCTGTTCTTTCAACTCTATATTGAAGTCTAATGGACTATACTGCATATTGCTAATTAAGCATTCCTTATTTTCATTAATTACTATATTCTTGTGAGGCAATGCTGATTCTCATTATTTATGCATTATTATTTCAAATCTTAATTGCTGCAGAAGTCTGCCAAAGTTAAATTACTTTATTTGAATAAATTATATTTTCTTAAAGTGACAGTATCAAATCTCTTCATTCACCTGCAGTTGAGTTCCAAATAACTTTTCCCCCGAGAGTATTACACTCTACACACAAACAGATGCCCTGTATCCAAACATCAGCATTATACACACATACACAAACATTTACTCAAATATACTCCATCCAAAAGCATGCATACTTTCACAGATACTGCACGCATACATACATGTTCAAAATAGAAGAGGATAATCAGAATTTCTATCCAGGCAAAATTAATGTTATATTATTCTTGTTACCACCTATCTTCCCCATAATCTGACAGTTTCCCCTTGTTTGTGAATGCCAGTTAAAGTGAATTAATTTACTCTTCCTTTAAACATATGGTGTTGCTGTCCAGTTTACCTCTAGTACATTGTCATTGTCTACTCTGCAGTCATTGTCACTGTGAGAAGAAACATCAAGGTGAATTGTTACCTAAGAGGTTTTGCCTTGATATGGAAGGGGAGCTTACACTTAAACAACCATTGGAGTAATGCTTAAAAACCTCCAGTTGTTTAATGTATATAGGGATATGGGATCGTGCACACGTAACTTTTTTCCTTTGGTTTTTCTTGTATGTACTGGGGCTGATGTGTACTATAGTTATTGCTATCATCCAAGAGTAGTGGGAATTTGAGCACAGGGCTTAATTTTGTATGTTAGTGTGAGAATTCTGCCTGAAATTGTCCATGTTACTTGCCCCTTTTACAGTCTGGAGGCTTTGAATACATAATTATTTTATGTTACTTGCATGTGCCAGACAACCACTGAAAACATTGTTAGCTGAAGATCAATGCTATCCTAAATATTCTAAAATAGGTGTCCCTCACTAATTTCTGAGTATTTGTGCATGGACTGCCACTAACTTACAGCTTATTACATATCAGAGCTTGTTGTGATCTGAAGAATTTTGAGACTTTGTGACTGGGAGTGAAGGCCCTGTGAGTTTGACGCATGCACATACTGCAAACCTGTTAACCAGCATTCCAAATCAATCTATCTGATAACAGTGCGGTGTTTTTAGACCATGTTATTGTAAATGCTATAATTTACTGGAATTTTTTTTAATGTATTTCTTTGTGTTGCACAAATATAGCACTTGTGAGAAACTTACAAAACAACATGTTTAGTATATAAAGTGAAGAATTTGCTGGACATCTTATGTGACATTCACAGATCAGTAACAACATTAAAGCAACTCGCCTAATATCGTGTAAGATCCCCCTGTGCTGCCAAAACAGCTCTGATGTGTCGCGGTATGGACTGTAAAAGACCTCTGAACGTGTCCTGGTGTATCTGGCACCAACACATTAGCAGCAGATCCTTTAAGTTCTTCAAGTTGCAAGGTGAGGCCTCCATGGATCGGATTTGTTGTTCCAGCACATCCCACATATGCTCAATAGGATTGAGATCTTGGGAATTTGGAGGCCAATGCAACACCTTGAACTCTCATTCATGTTCCTTTAACCATTCCTGAACAATCTGTGCAGTGTGGCAGGGTGCATTATCCTGCTCAAAGTGGCCCCTGTCATCATGGAACACCATTGCCATCAAGAGGAGTATGTGGTCTGCAACAATATCTAGGTAGGTGGTACATGTCAAAGTAACATCCACATGACTGCCAGGACCCAAGGTTTCCCAGCAGAAAACAGGGGTCATCATGAGCACTCTGACTGGTCTGCAGCAGTCTAATATGCAGCAAATTGTGATGCACTGTGTGTTCTGACACCTTTCTATCATTGCCAGCTTTATTATTTTTTGCAGTTTGAGCTACAGTAGCTCTCCTGTGTGATTGAATGAGTCGGGCTAGTTTTTGCTCCTCACATGCATCAATGAGCCTTTAGCGGCCATGACCCTGACGCCAGTTCACTAGTTTAAAAGAAACAATCTCAGGCACTCACTGTGATAAGTTAAGCAAGTTTATTGGCCACCGCAACATTTCGACCTATACCCAGGTCTTTGTCAAGCTTGATAAAGACCTGTGTACAGGTCGAAATGTTGCGGTGTCCAATAAACCTTCTGAACTTATCAGAGTAAGTGCCTGAGATTTTTTCTTTTATACTTGCTCTTATGGTATATGCTGACCCATGGTCAGTTAGCACCCTGTGATTTTTTATGATTAAGTGCAGCCCTCTTTTCTCTTTTCAGTTCACCAGTTGTCCTTCTTTGTGTAACAATACCTTACCTTTACCCACCGGACCTGCGCAGCGCGGTGTTCTCCCTTGCTGCTTCCAGGAGGTGGCACAGTCTGTCTGACGCCGGCCGCTCGCAGCACGCCTCTTCTTATGACGTGGCGCATGTGCGCCGACGTCATCAGAATATTGCCACGGAAATTCAAACGTGGCCACGCTCCCGAACCTTTTGGGGGTGTGGCTTTAAAGTAAAAGACACCTCACTATAAAAGGGCGCCCCTGTCATTTCTTCAGCACCCTAGTGTGGTTCTTGTGTGTTCCCTCTAGTGCTCTTGCGATTCTTAACTGTTTTCTGGTATTTTGACTCTTGGCTTTCCTTACTGACTCCTCTCCTCTCTGGTTCCCCGATTATTGGCATGGTTATTTCTTGTGTATTCCAATTTCTGTACCTTTGGCTATTCCTTTGACTATTCTTTGACATTGAGCCCGGCCACCCTAAGGTCCGGTATACGTCTCTTTCTGGGTTACTCTCTGCGTGAAGGGGTCACTGTTGTGACACTTTGCACCACTTTTAGTAGGTACTGACCACTGCTTCCCGGGACTTGCCATTTTGACTTGCCATTTTGGTGGTGCTCTGATCCAGTTGTCTAGCCATCACTATTTGGTCCTTGTCAAAGTCACTAAGGCCTTTTCGCTTTCCCATTTTTCCTGCATCAAACACAGGAAATCAAGAACGACTGGTCACAAGCTGCCTGATATATCCTACCCCTTGACAAGCGTCATTATAATGATATAATCAATGTTATTCGCTTCAACTGTCAGTGGTTTTAATGCTGACTGTTCAGTGTATATACACAGGCATATACACACTGCCACACAAAGACACACAATGACCACCTCATAATTACTGACACACAAACTGTCATACACATGTAAAGTGTGACGCATACACACATAAATCAAGCTCTATTTTAGTCACCCTCCTCATTGCCTACCTTGGTGCTGGTTGAAAGAGGCTTCCCTAGGGTCCAGTGAGACTGCAGGCACTGCTTGTCTGTTTTTACCCTCCTGCACAGCTTCCTTTTTATTGTGGGAGGAAGTGAGCTGATATGACTTCCTCCCAGTGATGCCATACTGGAGAATAACAGGGGCTGTCAACACAGCTCCTAAAGTGGCCTGCTCCACCTCAAATCGGAATCCAGTCTGGCTAGGGTATATACTATATGGATATACGCACTAATTAGCACTAGTAACAGCTCTGTAATGGAGTACCAGCCCCTGATGTTGGCACTGCGCACTGTGCATATATTACTGCCTTTATATTTCAACCAAGCTGATCCATGATAAACAAGGATAATAATATTAATATTAGCGGCAAATTTCAATTTAGTCATAGTTTTTTTACATTTTAGTTTTAGCCTTATTTTAGTCATCTGAATTGTTTTAGTTTTAGTCTAGTTTTAGTCGACTATATCTCCAGTAGATTTTAGTCGACACAACTAAAATCGAATGGGTTTAATTAAAGCCTTTATATGTCTCTTTTGACCCTTCCCCAGACCCTTGGTGTCTCTTTGTGCCCCCAGCACCTCTGGGTGTCTCTGTCTGTCTTTTTTGCCCCTTCCACAGCCCCTCTGTGTCTCTTTGTGTCCCCCCAGCACCTTTTGGTGTCTCCCCCCCAAAATTATTATCTGTCTCTCTTGCCCCTTCCCCAGCCCCTCTGTAGTTCTTTGACCTCCCAGCCCCTCATGTGTCTTATTCTTCCATTCCCCTCATTTGTCTTATTCTCCCAGCCACCCCATGTGTCTCATTTCCCCAGCATCCCATGTGTCTCAAACTCCCAGACCCCCATGTGTTTTAAATCCCCCACCCCCCCCATTTGTCTCGATACCCCAGCCCCCCATTTGTCTAATCTCCTCTCCTCCTTCCCCTATGCGTCTTGGTGGCAATTTTCAAATTAGTCATAGTCTTTTGAATAAAAAGCCATTTTAGTTTTAGTCATATTTTAGTCATCTGAATTCTTTTAGTTCTAGTCTAGTTTTAGTCGAGTAAATCTCATTTTAGTTGATAAAATTAACACTGATCCTCAGGTTCCCACTCATAAAAAAATAAACTTGGGGAATGCTTGCTTAGCCAATTGTGAAGCTTTCTTCACTACCACTTTAACTCCAGTTTTGACCACCAGAAAAATCTGTTTATCACCGTACAAAATTAGTAGATTATGATAAATTATGGATCTAATTACACTAAACTGATTATCAAAAGGTGTGCTGTAACTAATAATTTTTTGTCTCCCAGACTATAACTATTAACTTTTTTCCAGCTCATTGGATGATTTTGCACCCTATCTAAACATTCACTCATTCTTTTATTTTCAGCAATTTTAAGGTGACCTCTATCCTGAATCTATTTCTCATATAATCAGCAAGAATCAAAAATGGTCTCCCTGAAGAAGAGTTCCAATTCAACCTGAGGATCTGTCCCACAGGGATAGCTTTAATCATATGAAGTGGATCATTAACTGAGGCACGCAAAACAGCATTTACATCAGTGAGTTTCTAATTGATGTCTCCAAACATCCCATATTATCATTTTTTATGGTAACTTCCAGAGAATGGATTTTTGACTTTCTGTACTCCACTGTAAATTTGAATAATTATAATTAACAAAACCAAAAATCTCCCCCAACCTAGAAGAAGTACTGCCCCCCACCCCAAGAGATCATATATAAAATGCTAAAATAAATAAATATCACCTCTATAGGGCTTCACTTTTCAAAAAATTTGCACTACTTCCAATGACTAATATACAGTTAGGTTCGGAACTATTTGTACCCTGACATATGTTTTGTTATTTCAGCTGTTTGCCAAAATACATTTGTTACAGTTAAACAAAGAATATGGACTTAAAGTTCAATCTCTCTGCTTTAATTTGAGGGTATTCACATCCAAACTACAGGAAGGGTTTAGGCAAAGAAGTGGAATATTCTGCAATCACCTGATCTCAACCCGATCAAGCATGCATTTTACTTGCTGAAGACATAACTTCAGAAAGACCCACGAACAAACAATGACTGAAGGCAGCTACAGTAAAGGTCTAGCATCGCAAAGGAGGAAACCCAGTGTTTGGTGACGTCCATTAGTTACAGTCATTACCTGCAAAGGATTCTCTGCAAATTATTAAAAAAAAATATTTTATTTACGATTTTGGTAATTTGTCCAATTACATATAAGCCCCTAAATAAGGGGACTGTGTATGAAAATGGTTGCAATTCCTAAACATCCAATACTATAATTTTGTTCAACCTCTTAAATTAAAGCTGAAAGTTTACAGTTTGAGTGCATCTCGGTTGTTTCATTTCAAATGCATTCTGGTGCCAAAATGTGTCAGTGTCCAAATATTTCCAGACCTTCCTGTATATAGGTTGACATACAATGGGACACATTTAGCACCCACTCCTGCATCTCTGTAGTCCTTTTTGAAAAGCTCACTGACCCAACTATATAAGAAATAGATGAAGAAATATAATTAGCAGTGCCATCTAGTGGTAAGCGGAGACATTTTCTGAAACAGATGCATAGACAATTTATGTGATACAGATGCCACACATTTTGAAACGTGCTTCCGTATATAAATGAGTCCTTTATGTATATGATTTTTGTGGTACGGCTTGAAAAAACACAATTATGTTCACTAATTTATCAACAAAAATTATTTAATTCCTTGTGCACTCAATGGGAGAATGGCTTCAAGACCAGACTAAGACCACCAGGGATGGATGGCGGCAGCAGGATCCCCCCTCCCAGGCTAAAGGTAAGCAGGGAGGGGGGAAATAATTACCCAAGTCACATCAGCCTCACTTGGCACGCACAGCACCCTCACTCACTTACACACTGCACCCCTGACACTCACAGCACCCTCACTCACTTACACACTGCACCCCTGACACTCACAGCACCCTCACTAACTTACACACTGCATCCCTGACACTCCCAGCACCCTCACTCACACACACACACACACACACATACTGCACCTCTGACACTCACAGCACCCTCACTTACACACTAACACACACAGCACCACTGACACTCACATCACCCTCACTCACTTACACACTGCACCCCTGACACTCACAGCACCCTCACTCACACACACACACACACTGCACCCCTGACACTCAGCACCCCACTCACACACACATGCACCCCTGACACTCACAGCACCCTCACTCTCACACACACACACACTGCACCGCTGACACTCACAGCACCCTCACTCACACACTAACACACACTGCACCACTGACACTCACAGCACACACACACACACACTGCACCCCTGACACTCACAGCACACACACACACACACTGCACCCCTGACACTCACAGCACACACACACTGCACCCCTAACACTTACGCATCCTCACACACACACACACGCACACACACTGCACCCCTGACACGCACAGCACACACACACTGCACCCCTGACACACACAGCACACACACACTGCACCACTAACACTTACAGCTTCCTCACACGCACATAGCACCCTCACGCAAACACAGCACCCAATCACACACAGCACACACAGCACACACACAGCACCCTTACCCACATAGCACCCTCACGCAAACACAGCACCCATCACTCACACACACACACTGCACCCCTCTCGCACACATACTACACCCCTTACATACACACAGCACCCTCACACACACTGCACAATATGTCTCCTGGTATCCCAACTATGAAGACACCAGAGACAAATTTCAAGCAAACACAGTGCAAGCATGTTATTGAATTTGCTTGTGCTGTGCAGAACAAATAAAGGGTCTTTTTCTCATGCCAGAGCTCTGCAACATGGTCTACCCTGGAAGAGCATTGAACCAACATGCTCACTTTGTGATGGGGTGTGCTTGTCATTGGTGATGACAAAACACACCCTATCCGGCCCTGCCCCCTTTTGTAGGGGCCGCTGTAATTAAAAAATGCCTGGGCCGAATTTTCTTCCCAGTCCCGCCCTGGTAGTTGGCCACCAGGTTTGCACTCATCTCAGGAGGGATTTTGTCCCACTCCCCTTTGCAGATCATCTCCAAGTCATTAAGGTTTTGAGGCTGACGTTTGGCAACTCGAACCTTCAGCTCCCTCCACAGATTTTCTATGGGATTAAGGTCTGGAGACTGGCTAGGCCACTCCAGGAACTTAATGTGCTTCTTCTTGAGCCACTCCATTGTTGCCTTGGCTGTGTGTTTTTGGTCATTGTCATGCTGGAATACCCATCCACAACCTATTTTCAATGCCCTGGCTGAGGGAAGGAGGTTCTCACCCAAGATTGTGATGGTACATGGCCCCGTCCATTGCTCCTTTGATGCAGTGTAGTTGTCCTGTCCTCTTAGCAGAAAAACATGAGAAAAGCATAATGTTTCCACCTCCATGTTTGATGGTGGGGATGGTGCTCTTGGGGTCATAGGCAGCATTCCTCCTCCTCCAAACACGGTGAGTTGAGTTGATGCCAAAGAGCTTGATTTTGGTCTCATCTGACTACAACACCTTCACCCAGTTCTCCTCTGAATCATTCAGATGTTTATTGGCAAATTTCAGACGGGCATGTACATGTGCTTTCTTGAGCAGGGGACCTTGCGGCATTGCAGGATTTCAGTCCTTCACGGGGTAGTGTGTTACCAATTGTTTTCTTGGTGAATATGATCCCAGCTGCCTTGAGATCATTAACAGGATCCTCCCGTGTAGTTCTGGGCGGATTCCTCACTATTCTCATGATCATTGAAACTCCATGAGGTGAGATCTTGCATGGAGCACCAGACCGAGGGAGACTGACAGTTATTTTGTGTTTCTTCCATTTGCAAATATTTGCACCAACTGTTGTCACCTTCTCACCAAGCTGCTTGACGATAGTCTTGTAGCCCATCATCATGGTCTTGTGTAGTCTACAATCTTGTCCCTGACATCCCTGGACAGCTCTTTGGTCTTGGCCAGGGCCGGACTGGGAGAAAAATTCAGCCCGGGCATTTTTTATCACAGCGGCCAACTAAGAAGGGGGCGGGGCAGAGAGGGTGTGTTTCGTCATCACCAATGACAAACATGCCTTCTCTCAAAGTGAGCATGTTGGTTCAATGCTCTTCCAGGGCAGACCATGCGCAGAACTCTGCTAAAGAGCTCTAGCATGAAAAAAAAGCCCTTTATTTGTTCTGCACAGTGCAAGCAAATTTAATAACATGCTTGCACTGTGTTTCCTTGCAACTTGTCTCTGGTGTCTCTATAAATGGATACCAGGAGACAAAAGGGCCAGGAAAGAGTATTGTGCATGTGTTTGGACCCTGCTCGTGGAATTGCGTGTGTGTAGAGTGAGCTGATTGCGGTGTGGTATTGTGTAATAAGGTCGGTTTTAGTCATGTTGTGTTTTTGGTGTAATATAATGCATATGTGGCTAAGGGCTGTAGAGAATGTGTGTATAGGGGATGTAGTAAGTGTGTGCATACAGGCTATAGTGTGTGTGTGTGTATAGGTGATGTAGTGCTTGTAGAGGTGCAGTATGTGTGTGTGATTGATGCTGTGTTTGAAGGGTGCTGTGTGTTTTTTACATGTGCACAGTCGTTATTCGGCATGTGCTAAAACCTTAATAAAATAACTCTGTGACACCATTTCTGTTGGAGTATAAAGTCCACAGCTTTATTAAAAATTTTAATTCAACAATTTAACAATTTAGGGTCATTGTCACAAGTATTAATTATGTCCGACCTTCTTGCCCAATACCCCCGACAATGACCCTACCAAATAACATAATAAAACATTCCAATAATACATAACGTTTAACCCATGGCCTACCAAAGAGGCCCCATAACCATATGTTTAACTGTAGGGGTGTACCCAGACACCCCTACACCCCCAGATTCGTAGCCACCAATGAGCTAGAACCTACAAACCATTTTCCACTCCGGCATAGTCCAGCCTAGACCTTGGCCTGCCCACTTCCTATTCCACCTAAATCCTCTTTAACCCAGGCCCTATTCCCGCCGCTGTGACCAAACGGGAAACTACCTACCAAACAAGACAACTGAACACAAAGGGAGGGTGGGAGGGACAAGTATCAAGTAAGTGTGATTTTGATTAAAAAGGCCAGCTCACCAAATTGGCTGTTATTTAAACCCTTATTCTCCTCCCCCCCCTGTCCAGACATTACTTTTCCACACCCCTTGACCTTAACTTCACCTGCCAACTCTCTGGCCCTGTCAAGGCCCACTCCCCTCCTGTGTTGCTCCATGGGCTTCATGACATGTGCACAGTCGTTATTTGGCATGTGCTAAAACCTTAATAAAATAACTCTGTGACACCATTTCTGTTGGAGTATAAAGTCCACAGCTTTATTAAAAATTTTAATTCAACAATTTAACAATTTAGGGTCATTGTCACAAGTATTAATTATGTCCGACCTTCTTGCCCAATACCCCCGACAATGACCCTACCAAATAACATAATAAAACATTCCAATAATACATGACGTTTAACCCATGGCCTACCAAAGAGGCCCCATAACCATATGTTTAACTGTAGGGGTGTACCCAGACACTCCTACACCCCCAGATTCGTAGCCACCAACGAGCTAGAACCTACAAACCATTTTCCACTCCGGCATAGTCCAGCCTAGACCTTGGCCTGCCCACTTCCTATTCCACCTAAATCCTCTTTAACCCAAGCCCTATTCCGCCACAGCACATGACTTGACCCCCTCAAGAACATGAGCGACCCCCACCACACAAAAACAGGGCCTGTGCAATACCATCCTGAAAATCCAAATTAAGTAAATCCGATCCCACGTCGGATAGATGAACCCCATCCTTCCTAAAATACCCGGGCAGCATACATTCCAACTCCTTGTGACGCACAACTACGCCACCCATCCGCCTCACGAAAACCGCCATGGTCTTATTGACCTTACCCCTACTTCGCGCTATTGCAGCCGAATCCCTGGCGTGTCTCCAATTAAAGCGAGGCACCATTTCGGACCAGACCACTACCACGCCAGGAACCAGCTTACGTAGCCGATCCAGATCCCTCTTCATCCTCCTCAACAGTTCCCGCTGCGGGATCAAGCCTAAATCGTTTCCCCCACCATGAACCAGAATTACGTTAGGGACTGACCCCCATGCCAGCCTATTGAACAGTTCCTTACTGATGCTCTGCCAACCGAAACCCCAGAAACCCAACCAAGTGAGAACCACCGCCTCCACCGGGAAGCCCAGTTGTGCTCCGTCTCTTCTCATCGCGGCCCTCCTCCGCGCCCAATAAACGTAGGAATGTCCGATCAGCCATACCAAACGACCTAAAAGAAATAGAACAGTGAACAGCAGAGCCCTTAACACCAGTCCCCTATTACACCAACTTGTCCGGTCTAACGTATGAGCGGAACCGAATGGACTCCCATCTTCCTATCTGTTTGATCCGCTCGTCTCCCAGACCTAACCGAGCCGCCTCCGTTGCGGCCCCAATTCTAAACGAATGTGTCCCGAAATGCATGGGTTCTAGGCCCAGCTTACCCAATCCTGCACGAAATATCCTAATGAACTGAAAACGGGACAAAGCCTTACCGTCAGCATGGATGAAGAAACAGCCTTCCTTCTCGGGGCGGACTTCCAAGAATTCGGCGCCACAAGCCACTGGGCAAACCCTAGACCCTGGCAATTTGAACAATGTTACCAAGCTTCCTTTGCCGAATATGTCCATCTTTGAGCGGCACAACTTGACCTGTACCTTATCTTCACCAATGGTCACATCCCCCAACCGAATCCCACCAACCCCTGCTTGGTTGGTGCTAAGCAGCTCCCCAATACGGAATGCCCCGAAGAATGCCCAGACAAACGCCCCGGAAAACAACACAACTTCATATTTGGAATAACATAATGCCGGTAGAACCTCCACTAGTCCTTGCAGCACCGCGAATGACACTAGCCTCCTCGTATCCACCGATTTCTTACCCCTCTGAAAACCTCTTATGGCTTGCCTGACCAAGAAATGTTTCGATATATCCTCCCATCCATTAAACTTAAATAGGAAGGCCAACGCCGACATGTGCCTGTCAACCATAGCTGGTGAAGCCTTCCTGGCAAATAGTCGACACAGTACCCATAACAGTATATCTAACCGATGTTCCTCTGAACAGTCCCCTCCCACTTGTGCCACCGACTCTTCCCATTCGTGCCAAACCTTCACATATGCCGCCCAGGTGCCCGGTGCCAGGGAATTCTTTATGAACTCCCCAAGCATGATGTCCCGAGCTGCCGACATGCCAATCCTTCCTCTTGTGCCTCCGGCGCTGCTTCCCGAAAACGTTCCCACTGTGAACGAGAAAGCGCGTCAGCCACTATATTCAAGAAACCTGGAACATGCCTTGCCCTGAACACTATATTGCTAGACATACATACAAGTACCAGGTGAATTAATAACCGTATCACTGCAGGAGATGATGCCGACAACCCATTGATAGCCTGGACCACTGCCATGTTATCTGAGTAAAATACTACTTTTTTGTTTGCGAGCTGCTTTCTCCATAACGCCACCGCTACTACCACCGGGAAAAATTCTAGGAACGCTAGGTTCCTTATCAGCGAGCTCGTCTTCCACTCCGCCGGCCACTCCTCGGCGCACCATTGCCCCGCCAAATAAGCCCCAAACCCCACGCTCCCGGAGGCGTCTGTAAACAAGCCTATGTCCTTGGAGGAAACTCCCGGCTCCCGAAAAAACACTATACCGTTAAATTTTCTTAGAAACCTTTTCCAAACCCCCAGGTCCGCTCTCATATCCGCCGAAACTTTCACGTAATGATTCGGCAACCGCACACCGCTCGTCGCCTGGGCCAGCCGTCGACAAAAAACTCTGCCCATCGGAATCACCCTGCATGCAAAATTAAGACTCCCCAATAGCGACTGCAGCCCTCGCAAAGTCACTTTTCTCGCATGCCATGCTGTGTCCACTAGCTGACAAGGCTTAAGTAGCTTGTCCGCGGGCAGTCTGCATTCACCTTTTACAGAGTCAATCTCCAGGCCGAGGAAACTAAGGCATGAGATGGGGCCAACCGTCTTATCCCCTGCCAAAGGAACCCCAAAAGAGTGTGCTATCCATTGAAACACCCTCAATATCTGGCCACACCGCTCAGATCCTTCCGGCCCTACACACAAGAAATCATCGAGGTAATGCACGATTGATCCCCCAGCCGACTCCCGTCATACCACCCATTCCAAAAAGGTGCTAAACTTTTCAAAATAGGAACACAAGATGGAACAGCCCATCGGTAAACACAGGTCTATGAAGAAACCCCCTTCGAAGAAGCACCCCAAAAGGTGGTGACAACCCGGATGAATGGGGAGCAGCCGAAATGCTGCCTCCACGTCCACCTTTGCCATCAGTGCACCGTGTCCCGCTCTCCGAACCAACTCGACCGCATGATCGAATGATGCATAGGATACGGAACACAGCGCCGCGTCGATATCATCATTTACCGATGACCCCCGTGGGTGCGATAAGTGATGTATCAGGCAAAATTTCCCTTCCTCCATTTTAGGGACCACCCCCAGCGGAGACACCCTTAAATCTTCTATCGGCGGGGACGGAAACGGCCCCGCCATCCTCCCCATCTGGACTTCCTTCATTAATTTTTCCCGCACTACCCCTGGGTGGTCCCGGACTGATTTAAGGTTTGCACACATGGTTCCCGGACCTTTGACCTTGAATGGGATAACAAAACCCTCTGTAAACCCCCGCCATGAGAACCTCGCCTCTTCCTGATTACCGTACTGCCTTAACCACAGCAGCATCGCGCCGACCTTCACCGGCGACGTTCCCAATCGCCACCGCCGTGGCTGTTGTCCCTGCTGCACCCCCGAAGTTAGTTTCCTTTCTTAAAACACCTGTTGACTCCATGATTTCCCCCGCATCCGGAACATTCATGTTTAAATCTACACGATGCCCCCCATTTGCACTGCCCTTCATTGAACAGCCAACAGAACCCCTTCTTCTGTCCGGCCGGTACAGCGCTTCCCGTGGCCGTACCGGCCATCCCTTGAAAGGGCGCATTTTTCTGGGCCATCATTATTCTCATCCATAAAGGCAGGTCCATCTGAGCCCACCTCATACTCGGATTCGCTGCCAACCGTTGGCGGAATTGTTTGTCGTACCGCCACCATGCTAATCCCCCATAAGTCCGGTAAGCGTCCCCTATCCCGTCCAAATAACAAAACAGCTGCGAACATCGTTCTGGGTGCTTTTC